AGGATCAGGAAACGGTCCTCCATAAAATGTGCTGCACACATCTGAATATTTGGGTTGAACTGTTCTGGAACAGTGTTGTAAATACAACTTAACCACTGATTTCTAGTTGTGTCCTCTGTTGGAAGGCCAAACAAAGTAGTTTCGCTTTCACAACGAAACACACAGTGTCTCCACAACATGGCAGCGGCGGCAACAGCGAGAATCAAAGTTACGCCTTCTTTCTTTGTGTGAACATTTGGGCAGTGTTACGCAAATCTTCCCACATAGTGAGGTAGACATGTGGGGGCGTGTTAGAACGAGCCATTTTAGGAGGGCGTGGTTGACTCTTAACTTTTATAAAGAATATCTCTTTGAATTTGAGACTTTAGTCTTTGCAACTTTACAGATCTTTTTTATGCACCAAGAGCTTGTAACACTTCAAAGAGAAAGGAAGAATTGAAATCGCATCATATGACCCCTTTAAAAGTATTATAATAAAATAAAATAAATTGACACGACCAAAAGGTAGGTAAAGTAGTTGATCTAAAATTATGCCTATAGTTTAAAAGTAATTTAGTAGTAAATCATATGGGTTAATGTAATAAAGGTTACAAAGTTTTATTTCTCAAATACAGTCCTTTTTGTTATATCCTAGCATGTCTCAATTAAATATGACAAACCCTTATCCATCTACTCCTTAGTCCTAAGTAATTTCTTAGCTGACTTAGAACTTAAACGTGGGACTAAACTGCTCGATGGATTGGTAGATTACACTGGCACTCCTAATCCATCCTGTATTGTGTGTTTGACCTGCAGGAGATTGTCAACTATAACTGCCATGGGCTAGTGGCTAACATGCCTCTCTTTGCAAATGCTGATCCTCACTTTGTCACAGTGCTCCTCACAAAGTTACGCTTCGAGGTCTTTCAGCCGGGTGATTTCATCATCCGTGAAGGGATGCTCGGTCGTAAAATGTACTTCATCCAGCATGGCTGCGTCTGTGTGATCACTCATGACAATAAAGAGAAGAAACTGAATGACGGCTGCTACTTCGGCGGTGAGTTAGATTTTTCCCGGCTTGTACCAGATAAAAACTTTATACAGTACACAGATACTATTGTGTAGTAGACCAAAACTGAATACAGAAATTTAGATAATAGCACAATGAACAACAATAGATGGTTGCTACAGAACTGATTTGTTTATTCTTTTCTAGAGATCTGTCTGCTCACCCGTGGACGTCGTACAGCCAGCGTCAGAGCGGACACATACTGCAGACTTTATTCGCTCAGTGTGGACAGCTTTAATGAGGTCTTAGAGGAGAACCCATTAATGAGGAGGGCGTTTGAGAGTGTAGCGGTGGACCGGCTGGAGCGGGAGCGTGAGGGAAACGGTATTGTGCATTCACACAGGAGCGTGGAGGATGATGGGGACTGATGAACATTGACTGACCGGAGACTCACCGAAGATGACTGAATGCAGAAAAAAATCATGGTGTTACGTTGTCCATATAACTGACATTAATGTACAGTTGCAGTATGCTGTGATTTATCTTATTAGAGTAGTTCTTTCTTATTCTTAATTTGACCGTGCAATGTATAGGAACATAAAAATAAACAATACAGGTCCTGTAGATACTCTAAAGATACTGGATCCATGTAATTCATTTCAGTCAGAAACCATTAGTTTAGCAGGGACCTTGATAAATGTGGTAAAACAATATGTATGCAGCAATATATATTATAATACAAGTACATTAAAGATACAATCAAATTAAATGAACATAGCACAAACACATACCCTAACATTACAAAAGTTTGTTTTATTGTTTCTAAATCTCTATTAAGCTCTTGTAGTTTCAAGTAATAGTAGCCTTTAGTCAAAGAATCGCTACCTGTATATGTTAACTCAGTACAACTCATGTTTAACTCTTTCATTTTGATGTCTTTGAAATTGCTTTCATTTTAAAACCTCCAGACAGCCACCAGCATATAACAGTGTTGCACTTATCCACTTATCCTTTCATTATTGTCGTGCTGCTGGTGGAAGGTCTCTGGATGTATCATTGATTCCAGATAATCAAATCGAGGTAAATCATAATACTTTCTATTAGCTGTTTTATAATACAATAATATACTGAATTCTATCTGCTTTCCAGATCAACATTGAGCACTTAAGAATCATGCACTGTAAGGAAAGATGTCTGGTAACTGAAAGACACGGATGAGCTGGGACATCTGGCCATTGTCCTCTTAACTTCAAATTAAAGTATTAAACAATATGAGTCACATAATCGCTGATTAAACTCATTTCCGTTTGGCCTGAGCCCTTACTTATCTGTGATAATCGGTTATGACGAAAATAACCCTTCGAGAGAAGGTTGTTTTCACATGTGCTTTTGAGGGAAATATTTACTTAGGAGCAAGTGATATATTCATTTCAAATTATATTTTGTCAGTAACATTTCTACTCTTCTCTGTGGTTGGAAATAAAAACAGATATATTACCCCACATAATGTGTGATATTATAGAGATGAGGAGTATTATGGAAAAACAGCTGCGATTTTGAATATAAATGTTAATTTGATGTGTTTCATTTGCCACTATATTATTAAAGTATGTTATTAACTGTTGGATACAGTCGCTGTACACGAGTCTACATACAGTTTGGTAGTTTACCAGTGTGTCATTATTATTTTCAGGGAATTACAGTTTTCTTTATTGAATTGTTTTCATACTAAACACTAAATAAAACTACACTTCATACCAAATAAAGTGGTTTGTAGACTTTGTTCTATTTATACTTGGGGCAAAATAATATGACTGAAGTATTTTGACCATGAAGAATCATATTTATTTATTTTATCATACATATAAGGCACGTAAGACAGAATAACAACAACAAAACATAAAATAAACATTAAAAAAAATCAATAATAAAATTAAATAAAAAAAGTACTTTATAATATTAGGGTAGTTACATACATTTGAAAATCTTAAGAATTTTTATTGTTTCGTAAGCTTATTTTGTGATCTCATATTAGAAATGGTTTCAAAATATATTAAAGATCAAGGTAATATATGATGGTGTATTTTGAATTATTTTTTAACTTATGAATATAAAACTTTGCTAAGATAATTAATGGATTAATGATGTAATTTTGTTTATCGGAAAAATATTGGTTTTGAAAACAAAAGTGAAATATCATGAGGTTCTAAATTAAGGGATTTGTTTAATTTTTTTGTTATGTCTATTTTAAAGTCAACCCAAAATGAAATAGAAAAAGGGCAACAGAAAAATAAATGTTCAATATCTTGAACTGATGTCACAAAAGGTACATTTATTACAAACACTATGAATATATCTGCTACAGAAACAGCTGCATTTATAGGATAACATCTGTGAATAATTTTACAACTTCCATAGTATTTTTTTTTCCTACTATGGAAGTCAATGGCAACCACCAACTGTTTGATTACCAGCAATCTTCAAAATATCTTCTTTTATGTTCAACATAAGAAAGCAACTCATACAGGTTTGGAACGACATGAGGGTGAATAAATGATGACAGAATTTTCATTTTTGGGTGAACTATCCCTTTAAGGCTTTATATTATATTTTAACTGTGCAACAGCGCCTCCACACATAACAGGTCAAAGCCGTGATTACATCCGGGTCGGTCGCTATATTCCTTCCTTCCGCTGTACATTTTATAACGCTGATCCAGGGAGATCACGAAGGTAAACAGCGGCTCGGCTCTTTCACTTGATTTATCTGTTTGCAAATCAAGGTTTTGACAGTTTCTAATTTTTTGACAATCTCCTATACCTTCTGTAAATAAATCCGAACATTAACGTTGTGCAATGCCGCAGTCCCTCAAATGTCATGAGCGTGAATATGGAGGTCACTGCGGGACGAGTCCATTTTCAACCGGTTAACCTACTGTACAATATCTGAAAGAGTTTGGCTTGTGTGTTTATGCAATAATGTATAATACGGAGGCATCTTTGATCTACATGGATGTGTGTTTATTGCTGCTGTTCAACTATTTAATCACTCTTCCCGTCTCTTGCCTTGCATAACTGTTCCCTTCGTGAAATTTGTCTGAAGTGTTGATGCTTTTTATGGGCTTTTTAGTTCATGTATGGATTATGTTACAGTGTTGAACCTCACAAGTTTGTGTTGTGAATTAATTTTATAAGCGGCTATTATTTGGGGGTGTTTAATGCTACCCTCTAGTTGTTTTGTTCTTAACAAACATCTACAAAAACATTTAATAAAAAAAATAAAAATAAGTTTAGTAATTTTATGATGTTAAATTTTTGGTATTTCTATCTATTTTAGTTTTAGTATCTTTATTCCTTAATTTTAAACATATTTAAGTTAGTTGGCAAAGCAACATTTCTAATTGCCGTATAGATTTAAGTTTTTCATGTAATATTTACAGTATAATTAATTTAAATTGAGTTTTATTTCAATTACCAAAAAAACAATTTTTAATAGTTTGTTTTAGTTAACAATAACAGTAAAGGTCATTAGGACTGGAGTTGTTATTAAACAGTGCACCATGTGGTACAGCTTTGGTTATGAGGGGATGGTTCTTGCTCATTGGTTCCTTCATATCTTTCAGATAAGATGTTGTCCTGTCTCGGCTGTCCCGTTCTTAGCCGGGTTCTGACCATCGGGGCTTCACGTGCCCCGGTAGCTGTGGTTGCATGTGGTGCATCACGCACTACTGTAGCAGCCAGCACCGCCTCTCCTTCAAACTCAACGTCACTGGTGCGGTACAACAGCAGCACAGCTCAACAGGTGACTTGTTGCTCAAATCCACTGTCTGCATAATTGATGATCGATGGAAATTAGATATAATCAGTGTGTGTCACCCAGGAAACGCCAAAGAAGACCAAATTCGGACCTCTAGCTGACCAGGACAGAATATTCACTAACCTATATGGACGACATGACTGGAGGTAAAAAATATGAAATTGTATTATGAATTATATCTAAAGACAGGACTTAAACTTACATTTGAATGTTCCCTATTTGTTATGGAAGCTATTTTTTTCCCATGGACTAAAAAGGTGAAAGGTTAAAATATATATATATAAAATAATTGCAACTTTTTTTATCTACAATTCAGATATTTTTTTCCATGCTATTGCAAGTTTATATCTCAAAATTCAGACTTTTTTTTCTCAAAATTGCTTGTTTATATCATGCACTCAGACTGTTTTTTTCTTCTCAGAATTGTGAGTTATTAATTGTAAGATGTAAATGGAGAAAAAGTAAGCTTCCATAATTTGTGTATTTTCTCATTTTGGTGTTGTTATCTATTAAACAATTAAAATTGTAATTTATTATTAATTTATTATAAGTGCAATCAAAGTTATTAATTTATTATAAGTGCAATTGTAAGATGTAATTTAGTAGTAATATAACACACACACACACACACGTGTATATATATATATATATATATATATTGTGCATGTGTTTAATGTGGTGAATGTTCCATATATCTCAGGCTGAAAGGTGCCCTGCAGAGAGGTGACTGGTACAAGACCAAGGAGATTTTGGATAAAGGAGTGGACTGGATCCTGAATGAGATTAAGGTCTCAGGTCTGCGTGGCAGAGGAGGTGCCGGATTCCCCACAGGGATGAAGTGGAGCTTCATGAACAAGCCCAGTGACGGCAGGTAGGTTTGCATCTCAACAGTTAACGGCTTTCATAAGTCACATGACTCTGCAAAAGCAGATGTAAATGCTTGGCCAGTGGATCTACATTTAGCTCTTTTCATTAGGATCAAATCAGGTCATACAGAAGCATATGAGTCTCTTTTTTTCACCCTCTCAGGCCTAAATATCTGGTGGTGAATGCTGACGAAGGAGAGCCCGGTACCTGCAAGGACAGAGAGATCATGCGTAATGATCCCCACAAGCTGATTGAGGGCTGTCTGGTGGCTGGCAGGGCCATGGGAGCACGTGCAGCCTACATCTACATCCGTGGCGAGTGTGCCGGATTCCCCACAGGGATGAAGTGGAGCTTCATGAACAAGCCCAGTGACGGCAGGTAGGTTTGCATCTCAACAGTTAACGGCTTTCATAAGTCACATGACTCTGCAAAAGCAGATGTAAATGCTTGGCCAGTGGATCTACATTTAGCTCTTTTCATTAGGATCAAATCAGGTCATACAGAAGCATATGAGTCTCTTTTTTTCGCCCTCCCAGGCCTAAATATCTGGTGGTGAATGCTGACGAAGGAGAGCCCGGTACCTGCAAGGACAGAGAGATCATGCGTAATGATCCTCACAAGCTGATTGAGGGCTGTCTGGTGGCTGGCAGGGCCATGGGAGCACGTGCTGCCTACATCTACATCCGTGGAGAGTTCTACAATGAGTCGTCCAACCTGCAGGTGAAAAAGAAAGGATGTGATCCCTCACATAATAACACAATTCATGTTTTAAAGAGACAGAGTAAGAAAGCTCAGTCCCAAAACCTAATGAGCTGCCAATAGAGGCAGCATTTTAAGGCATCATAGGCTGTTTCAAAATGCTAAATTAATCAATAGAATACTAATTAATAAATAAAAACAATATATCAATAAATAAAAACTAATATTATAATTGTCATATTACACTACCATTCAAAAGTTTGTTTTTGAAAGAATTACATACGTACAGTATATTAAGCAAGGATGCACTAAACTGGTCAAAAGTGACCGTAAAGACATTTACGATGTTACTAATGATTTCTATTTTAAATAAATGCTGTTCTTTGAACTTTATTTCCATCACAGAATCCTGAAAGAAACATGTATTGTAGTTTCCACAGAAATATTGAGCAGCGCAACTGTTTTCAACATTGATAATAATAAAAAATTTAACTGAGTGCCAGATAAGCATATTACTTATCACAACTTATCTCCAAACTTTTGAATAGTAGAGTATATGTTATTAATATTTCACTATATAGCCTATTAGAAATATGATAAATTATATAATATTGTAAATATATTTATAAATATAATATTAATCGAAATATTTTAAATATGTTTAGTTAAGTAATAAAAATATTCATAAATCATGCATTTAATGATAATGTTTATTATCTAATTCTTGTATGTGGTATGTATTCATTTTGTTAGTGTTGTCAAACATTATTAGAATTGAATGGATGTCAAATCTTCACTGCAAAGGGGTTCATTTCAGTAAAATGTGTTCAAATGTACTACATAGTAGTTGAGGGAAGTAATGTATTGACCTCATGTGTTTATGTGTGCTTTCTCTCAGGTGGCCATTAACGAGGCCTATGCAGCCGGGCTGATTGGCAGGAACGCATGCGGCTCGGGTTATGACTTTGACGTGTTTGTGATGCGCGGTGCGGGAGCATACATCTGTGGAGAGGAGACGGCTCTGATTGAGTCCATCGAGGGAAAACAGGGAAAACCTCGTCTGAAACCCCCTTTCCCTGCTGATGTGGGTAAGTCAGAAACAAACAGAAAATTACATTTTATTTTTACATTTATTTTTGATATTATATGTTATTTATTTTATTTTCTATGAGTGACATGATATAAGTTACATGTTTTTAATGTGTTAATATATGTATTTTTTGCATTACATTTTGTATATGTGACATGTTGTAAATGTGACATGTTTTTAATGTGATTCATTGTATTTTACTTAAAGTGATACATTTCATGTTCTTGTTGCAGGTGTGTTTGGCTGTCCAACAACTGTTGCCAATGTTGAGACGGTAGCTGTGGCACCAACCATCTGCCGTCGTGGCGGCACGTGGTTTCTGAGTTTTGGCCGAGAGAGAAACTCTGGCACGAAGCTCTTCAACATTTCAGGCCATGTCAACAACCCCTGCACAGTGGAGGAAGAGATGTCCGTTCCTCTGAAAGAGCTGATTGAAAGACATGCAGGTACACCTCATGCCATCCGCACATGGAAATCTTTGTTCATGGTCTAATCATGTCCGATCTTGATGATTATTGAGACTTAATTGATATGATCTCTGTAGGTGGTGTCCGGGGTGGTTGGGATAATCTCCTGTGTGTTATTCCTGGTGGCTCTTCCACGCCATTAATCCCACGTCATGTGTGCGACACCGTTCTCATGGATTTTGATGCCCTCATTCAGGCTCAGACTGGCCTTGGCACAGCTGCACTTATTGTCATGGATAAATCAGTAAGTCGATTTGTCAAATAACTAGGGCTGTTGATTTAACGTGTTAATTTGGTGCAATTAATTATGGAAAAAATTATGATTAACACATTTAACACACCCCACCCTGCCCAGACATGTACATCATCTTATATTGCATGCAGTTGCTGACGAACATGAGGTAGGAAGACTTAACTGCATGATGGAGCCTGTGAGAATGCAGTTATATGCCCCTAAAATTCAAGATATGAGGGCAAATATGCCCCAGTGTGGGTTTTTGTCTTATATTTATATCGTACGATATAGGTTAACAATATCACAGGAGCAAGAGTGCTGGTTTTTCCTGAATATCTGCATGATTGCAAATGTGATATTGATTTTATACAACAGTTCAATAAAAAAGAAGGTAATATTGTATTATATTTTATTCATATTATTGTCAATATTTGCTCAATTTCGGCAACGAAAATAGTTCTGAACAAAGTCAAAGTAGAACTGTTGTGCCTTTCAGAGCAGCACACAGTGATGTTTCGTTATTGAATGAATCCACATATTTGAACAAATCGATTGAGTCAATGATTTAATGACCAATTCATAAAGACAGACACTTTATTTCTGAATGAATCAGCCATTTGAATGAATCGGTTGACTGAATGACTCTCTCATTAAGACTGACTGGATCTTTTAGTTTTTTATATAAGGTATCAAATAAATTAATTAAATAAATAATAAAATTGAAATTGAGATTTATGCATCATCTGACAGCTGAATTAGCTTTCCATTAATGTATGGTTTGTCAGGATAGGACAATATTTGGCTGAGATACAACTATTTGAAAATCTGGAATCTGAGGGTGCAAAAAAAAAAAAAAATCAAAATATTTAGAAAATCACCTTTAAAGTTGTCTAAATGAAGTTCTTAGCAATGCATATTACTAATCAAAAATGAAGTTTTGATATATTTTCGGTAGAAAAATGTACAAAATACCTTCATGGAATATGATCTTTACGTAATATCCTAATGATTTTTGGCATGAAAGAAAAATTTGTAATTTTGACCCATACAATGTATTGTTTATTGCTACAAATATACCTGTGCTACTTATGACTAGTTTTGTGTAATAAATTCTATGTTGAATCAAAATATTTCTACTTTATTGTAATGTCTATTCAATTGCTTTTCTCTTTTAACACAAGAATGACTGTGGGTCACTTCTCAGCCCAAATTTATTTTCAATTAATTTGTGATTAATTTCAATAATTAATCAGCACATCATGTAATTAATTAAATAAAAAAATGTAAACCGTTGACATTCCTAAAATTAACACACTTGTGGTTTCTGTGGACATGGACCACTTTGAAACGCTATACTGCTCCCCTTTTCTTCACTTCAAATTCCTATAAGCATTTTTTTACTATAGGGACATTTCTAAATTAGTGAAATACAATAGGCCGGATTCAATGTTTTTTAAAGTTCTGTCTGCTAATTTGATTGTTTGGTCATTCCCCCTTCACAGACTGATGTTATTCGAGCTATTGCCCGCTTGATTGAATTCTACAAGCATGAGAGCTGTGGGCAGTGCACTCCTTGCAGAGAGGGTAAGAATTACTACAAATGTATGTGAATATACATTTGTCAGTATTTACATGTACAGTATGTTACATTACAGTGAATATTTACCAGTCTGTCTTTTCTGTGCCTTTCAGGAGTGGACTGGATGAATAATATGATGTGGCGCTTTGTGAAAGGCGATGCACAGTCAGCAGAGATTGACATGATCTGGGAGATCAGCAAGCAGATTGAGGGCCACACCATCTGCGCATTGGGAGACGGAGCCGCATGGCCAGTTCAGGTAAAGGCAGTATTTTATTTTATTTTTAGAATCAGTAGATCATTTGATTTATATAGACAAATTATTTTAGAATATATGATTATTAATCTAAACCGCTAAAAATGTTTTAACTGAAACTTGCATTTATATTTCTTTGTTCTCAGGGACTGATCCGTCACTTCCGCCCTTTAATGGAGAGCAGAATCGCAGATTTCAAACAGAAACAGCAGGCGCGTGCTTGAAAGCTTCATATCTGCGTCCTTTCTGGCTCATCCTGCCACTTATAGTTATTTAAGCAAAACCGACATGATCTCTCGCTCACTGATATGTGAACTGCTGGCATCCTCCTTTTGTTTCTCTTACATTATATCAGGGACATTAAATATTAGTCACCAAATTCGTTAAACCTTAAAATAACCATGGTGATAGATTGTTTGAGCAGATGCATCACTCATTTACAGTAACTTGTAGTGAGTAATGGTTATGGTTGATGTAATTATGTTAAATCCCATTACGATGTTAATGCCGTTTTTCTTGATAAGAAAATCTTACACTGTATAAACACTTATTTGTGGAAATAAAGAGCCTAAAACTTGAAACAGTGTTTGTTAATCTGGGGTGAGAGGAGAATGTGTTGTTTTTGATCATGAACTGCGTGAATTGGGAGAATTGGGAGAAGACAATGTAAAGATCTGTTTTAGAACCATTATGTTTAGTCCTGTTATGATATTAATAGCATTATTCTTTATATGAAATCTTTCTCTATATATATAGTGCTCACACACTTTTTGACCAATGAATTTAGATGTCTTTTCCACTAGTTCTTAATTAATTTTAAAACCAATTTATTGAGATTCCTGCAGAGGACTTCCATTGCAGGCCTTGAAATATTAGATTCAAACAATTATTCTTGTGTTCAAAAGTCTCCAAAAATATGTTCTTGTAGCATTCATGCAGAGCAAATCAGACATGTTCAGAAATTACATGTCTGAACATAAATAGATTTAACTAATGCTCCTGTGGCTCAGTGGTAGAGCATTGCGTTAGCAGTGCAAGGGTTGTGGGTTTAATTCCCAGGAAACACACATACAGATATAAAATGTATAGCTTGAATGCACTGTAAGTCGCTTTGGATAAAAGCATCTGCTAAATGCATTAATTTAAATTTAATTTATCTGCCTGAAAATAAGAGGTTCGTTTTTTTTTTTTCTTTTTGGGAAGTCAATTACTTTAAGTAGAAATGAGCCAATCACAAGATAGAAAAACCATACCAAAAATCAGCCAATCAACGCCGCCGTTGGCCCTCGAAACAACCCGCTTGTTTTGACGTTGACCTCAGAAACATCAGATAAAGGCTTCAGCTTTTGCACAACCTCGATTTTACATATCTGCTTTTTAGTCGAAAAGCAGACTTTTTCGACTAAAAACTTCTACTAAGAACTTCTCAGGAACTTGGACGACCAGTGTTGCCAATGAACACGGGCAGGTTATCATGTCGGTGCTTACAGAAAACAAAGAGTTTGGTCTTAAGGGGATGATCTCCGGTGTCATAAATAGGTACAAGGAAGCCGCAGAGGCTCCTCCTGAAGTTCTGTATGCCAATGGAGACTGCTGTGGGTCCAGCTCTCTCAGAAAAGCATTCAAAGAGTGGAAGGACATGGAGGTCAGGTTGAACATCTCTGAGTTCATGCGAAGGATTTCTGTGGGCTGCACGTTAGAGTCCCATCAGATATACGCGACATTCATGGACCGCCTCACCCACTGTATTTTCGAATGGGATGAGGAGGACCTGAAGCAGCTGAAGGAGGCGAAGCATAATGAGCTCAATTCCGATATCGTCCAGCCTTCTGATGATGAACTAATGCATCACCTCAGCAGAAGCGAGTTGGCCCTCCACTGTAGACGAACCACGCGTGATGTAAGGGAGATCGAAGAACTCATCACAGCACTCATTCGGCTCTATGATGGGGAGGCGGGATGGGACTCATTAGGAGTGCCTCTCTTCAGTTCCAATATAATGGCTGAGATATGGGATTCCCAGAAGAAACATTTGCCGTGTATAGTGGATCCTCTTGGTGTACAACTGTATGAGCAGACTGGGACACTGGTGAAGGGAGGCCACCTTCTGCCAACCTACAAATGTTTCAGAGGTTCCACCTCCATTGAATCCTTCCACCAGCATCTGAACCAGCTCATTCCAGGTAAATCAATTATCAGTCCATTTTTGTTTGTTTGTTTGTTTTAGTCTCTTATGCTCAAAAGGCACTACACTTGCAATGCTATGTCAACAGTGTGCCTGTTGCAAGTGGCACAACACAACTAGATAGCCATAATCAAAATATCTGTCTATACTGCAGTAGCTCAGTGTTGCAATGCTTGCAATGACAGTTTTATTGGTTTTTAATGAGAGTGATGATAATTATATGCAGGATGATGTGTTTGCACAATGTCTGAACACAGTATGAAACATTAGTACGCTTTGTGAAATATAAAGAGATTTCACGGCATTGTGTATTATATTTCAGGGGTGCCAGCTTGTTCTACATTTCTCCAAATTGAGTTTTTGGATGGATTGGTCAGGTGGAATGAAGCGACTGCTGTGGCCTCAGAGGGCCTGCAGACACCTCAGTCTTACATTGGGGTTCTTCAACAAGCTGTCGACCAGCTCGGAGAGGAAGTGCTTGGAAAGAACATTGTGTCTACTATCAGTACAAGTAAATACACTAGTAAGTTAGATATTATTTTCTCATAGCTGAAGGGACAGTTCACCAAAAATACGAACTCACCCTCATGTCATTCCACTATACAATGGAAACAGTAAGAAGAGTGGGATACATGTACAAATAATAAATTACATGAAATCCATCTGGAAATTTCAAACAGATTTTTAATCTCTTTTAAAACTAGATTTGATAAAATGGTATTTACCAGATGTCACGTAGGTCATATAAGACTGACTCGTGCATTTTTGCTTAAAGGTGAAGACCCTACTCAGTGCATGTTCTGCAGATTCCCCTTTGTGTCAAACATATTTTATTGGACTGTCTCGCTTTTAATGTATGTAGAAAACTATTTTATGAAGTGAACTCACTTAAAGAGTTATTTAGTATAATTTTGCCAGAAAACGTTTTAGACGTTTTACATTTTTATCATATGTTAATGTAAAAAAATCTTTTGTAATGTAACTAGTGTTTGTTTGTTTGCTGTTTTTTTATTGTATTTGTTATGCTTGTATTATTTTAATTGTTTTTGCCATGAAAATAGCTTAAGATACTGACATGGCATTAAATAAAAAATATACTACTACAATGGAAACAGTGCTATTTTAGTATAATTTGTATACTATTATAGTATTTTTTTTATTTCTATAATTTCAGTTTTCATTTTAGTTTAAATTTTCAAAATGTTATTTATATTTATTATTCTTTAATATGTATTTCTGTGTAGCTTTAGTTCTCTGTTCAGTTTTTTAAATGTATTTTATTTCAGTTAGTTACCAAGCAAACGCAAACCGAAAGCACACATATCATTAGCAAATAACTCAAAGTGGGTGCTTCACCTAAAGTAACTTAAAAAAAGCATGCCGGCACACCATGGCTCCAAAAAGTAGAAATTTATTGACAGATTTACACAAGTGTGAAATTTTGAGCACAAATGCTCTTCGCCATACAATTAAAACACTTCAAAGACAGTAATTTATATGAGATTAACAAATAAACAAAACATAATGCACTCGTCCAGTGAAAACACACACACACACACAAAAGTATGTCTAGAAAAAGAAACGATAATCCAGAGGCAAGAAACATCAGTAGCTTAAAGGTACCATCATAATGCCGCCAGGACACTAGGGCACAAAATCAAAAAATAAAAGTAGACTAAATGTGAAAGTCCAAATCTATACATCAACATTTCTGATTTTGCTTAAAGGGTTAGTTCACCCAAAAATGAAAATGCTGTCATTAGTCATTA